CCGGAGGTTGCAATGGTGCTTCGAGATGCTTTAAGTCAGCTGCGCTGGCTGACTGTGCTTACTGCAAAAGTGCTCGCTCCTTTTCTTTCCGCTTCGGCGGCCCGTTGGTGCAGCAAGCCACCCTTCGGGGCGTAGGCCACTGCACTGTAAAGCACACACACACACACACTGAAGGAGGTTTTGGCCCTTCTGTGGTGTTCTTTTGGGGTACTTGGGCCGCTCACAACCCTACATCCTAAATGTAAGCCCTTGAAATCTACCGCTAGCCGTTAGCCCCGAATCCATAAAGATTTGCCGCAAGCCCGGGCCCTGAGCCCTGAACCCACTACTACTAAACCTTATAGGAGCTCCTCGAGGCGCTCCCTAGTAGCACCCAAAAGCCCCAGGCTGCCGATCCGCGACCCCTTGGCCGACCGCCTGACGGATGCGTTCTCTCCAGGCCCGGCATGGCCCCCGGCCGGCCGGCTTTTGGGACTCTCTCAGGTGCCGTCTGTGGATATAGGCCTCTGCAAGGCATCTCTAGACTAGCGTTTAAAAACAGGTTTCCTCACAACTCGGAAGCGTCAACCTCCGAGCCAAACTTTAAACCCTCCAACACCCCAAACTCCAAGCGCTTAGCCTAAACCCTCAACTCCGAGACCTCAACGCGGTTCCTATCTAGGTACTCTTAGGCCTATGTGTATACTATATAGGTACATGGAGCCTTAGGGTTGACTTCAGGCTTTTGCCCCTGTGATGCGGCCGCAGGCACGGCCGTTGAGCTGCTCATCATTGAGCTGGCTCTGCCTTCGCTTGGGCCGGGGGCCCTTGAGGGCTGAGGGAGTTCCAGGTAAGGCTTTGCTTTAGGGTTTAGATTCAGCGGCTTAGGGTCTCCGTCTGATTTAGGAGAGTTCAGGCTTCTCTTTAGGGCTGCCTTGTGCTCCTAACAGTACATCGGAGAAATGCGGGGTGCGTTGGCTCCCGGCGCGATTTGAACCGGGGTTGACTTGGAGGAACTGCTTTTTAGGACTTCGCGTTTAGGGTCAGGTTTGATTCAGGTTCAGCTCGAAGTCCCTTTCCCGCGGAGCCGCCGGCGAGAATGGAAAGTGAAAGGTCTCTGCACACGGTCGGGCAACTCGAGCCGAGCAGGACTGCAAAAGGAGAAGATGAGAACTGCACTGCCAAACGGCGGCACTCTTGCTCGATCTTTATTGTGCCAGCTATCGACTCACCACTATATGCTTGCTCGGTGTAGGCACTGCAATCTGGGGTTTGGCATCAAGCGCAGAAGTTTCGATCTAAATTTTGCTTTGGGTGGTTTCAGGTTTTCTGTCTTTTTAATTTATCGCGGCTTCTGGACACTTTTGTTTCAGGTTTCCCGATTTGATCACGTCGTGTGGTCCTACCTTGCTGGGGCGGGGACGGTGGGTGTAGGATTAGAGTCGAGGGGGTGCGTTGGGAGAAGTCTGCGTCTCGTCGCGGAGTTTGGCGCAACTCACTCACTCCTTCCATCTCATACCCCAAGCTAAGGTCTGTGACAGACGACATTGCGCCCAACTTGAGCTCCGTTCGTACATCTGAGGCCCGATCTGTGCACCGATGCCCGCACCCTGAACGTTCTAGCGGCTTCTAGCGTATGGGGCGTGGCTTTGAACATCGCCCGAACGTGCACAGGGTTTTCATCTTCGATGGTCGGGTCCATGGCGCTGGTTTAGCCTAATATAGTTTGTGTAATTTGTATACCTTGAATCGATTCGGTTCTCAAGTCCAGCTCCCGCAGCCGCAGCCGAGCCCCTTGGGAAACTCGTCCTTCCAAACGAAGCTGAGCGCGGAGAAAGCCCTTTGCAACACCTGAAGTATTGATATTGATACCCGAGTTTTAACCAGAATGGAGATATTTGCAATAGCGGCGTAATGCGGTGTAAGAAGCTCAGGAAACTTCCTTCTGCTCGCAACAAGGAGCAACAAAACCGGTCTTTACGAACAAGAAGGAGCGTGCGAACAGTAGGAGCATCAAGAACGAGAGGGTCAAGCAACATAGATGCAAGAACAGAAGAACGTATGAAGAGACTAGACCAACAACCTGACAAGCATCTTGACCCCAAACCCTAAAGTGCGAAATCCCTGCAGCCAATAATAGTCATAATCATCATCGTCATCTTGAGGACAGTCTTGATACTAGTCGAAGCATTACGAAAAATAGTGCAACCACGTAGCCCGAACCGCAGGTCCTGTGTTCTTTCCTTTTTCTGCTTAACATATTATTGCAGTCTCGGAGCCTTGACCACTACGCCTTTGATCATCACCTACTTATGGTTCCTTACTTACGGTTACCGTTTTCCTTCCCTTCCTTCTTTAAGATACTGGGGTCGCTTTCCCTGCGTTTTGGAGGTCGTCCGATGCGAGGTCGCCGCAGAGCGCTCGGTGTTGGAGCTTCCACCCGTGGTCCGGCGAGGCTTTGGGCTTGGGCTAGTTTCGGGGTTTAAGGGTTTTAGAGGGGGCTGTTGTAGGTTAGGTTCGATTTCTTGCCGCGTTCCAAATGGTTTCATCGTTTTGTCGGTTTTCTATATGGGTATGAGGAGTGGAGCTTGGGCTTTGGAGTTTTCAGCTTCCGTCGCAAACAGGTTGGGGGCAGGGTCTAGGGATTCGGGTAGTCTGGGATCGGCGTCGGGTTCTGTGATGTTTCTCTGCTTCGTAGGATTGTGAATCCCTGGCGAAGGAAGTGTAGGGGGGATTCGTATCAGTTTCACATGCTTCATGAATCCTGCAGAGCACGACAAGCGTGCCATCAGGCGTGCAAGAAGCTGCGAGCCAACGGCAAGGAGGCCATTCTCTTATCTTCCTCCGAAAGCTGGGATTTCGGGTGCCGGGGATGAGGGTTGAGGGGCATGTGTGTGTATACATACGCCAGGTCTGGTTGCCAAAGTGCACATGGATGCCAACGACTTGCATCCCATGCTTCCGTGCTGCCGGCTGCTCTTGGATCTTTTCGGGTCTCATGGGGTTCCGTAAAGCTTTTTATTTTCAAGAAAATCTAGGGCTTACCTCAAACGACCCCAGCCCGAAATGCCAGACCCAAGACAAGATGCCTTATCCCCCATGCTTGAACCTTGACAAGACGGGATATGCGTCCGACGTAGACTTATAAAGAGAGCTATTAGCAACACCCAAAACCTCTTGCAAGACGAGTGTGTGTAGAGCTATAGAAAGCCTCATTCAAGATCTGCTAGAACTGGCAGACATCAAAGTCTCCCGGGTTGCAATGCAAAAGCCAGGGTCCGTCGGCTGCCCAGCTCACTGGCCGAGTGCTCGGCGTTCAGATGCTCAGGGTCCATCTGATCAGACTCTCTAGCTTCTTCCCAACTTACTCACTTGATTTGCTTCTTTGTTACGGTTGTAAGCCTCTGGGTGTCTGTGTCACTCCTGTGGGGGCTGGGGGCCGCAGCTGGAAAAATCAAAGAAAGCCTAGTACACGCATCCGAATGTTCGGGGTTTATCAGTCAGATCTTCAAGGCTTCGACGTTTGCCGACGGTACTGTTCAGGATGTCATGTTCTGGATTTGGGATGTAGGGCTCAGTGACCCCTAAACGTAAAACTGCAATGGACCCTAAACTGAAGACGCCAGGATCAGGAATTGGCACCCTGTGCTTAGTTTGAAGCTGAGGGGACTACAAGGTGGGTCCACAGTCGGGCTCGGACTTAAAAAACACGGTTGAGAAGTTTACACGTTAGGGTACGATGAGTACAAAGTGTTGCGCACAGGCGGCACTAGGTAGACGAGATAAGCTGTCTTGCAGACGCATAGTTCCAGTGCTTTGCGAAGCCTTTGGGTTCCAGTATTCGGCTCAGCGGATCTTGGCACGTTGGTGTTAACCACACCCGAACTTCGAGATATGCAAAACCACCCAAAAGCACTGCACCAATATTCCAAAGCTGTTGATTCTTGGGAGAGAGGCCCGACAAAGGCTGAAGTGCTGTACAACCCAACATTCATGCCCACAAGCGACACTCCAAACCTTTGCCGTCGCACTTCAACCCTACGCCCTAAACCCAAACCTTACTTCCCAAGCCGTAAGTTCCTAAACCTAAAATGTCTCAAACCCACAAATCCCTGAAAGCCCAGCTCCGCGGCATCCTCGCATCGCGCATCCTCGGAGCTCTGGTCACCGGCCCGTTGCGGGACGAGGTGGAGAGAGTGGAGCACTGTTGGAGTTCAGGCTTTGGGGGCTTTAGGGTTTCAGGGTTTTGGGGTTTAGGGTTTGGCCTGAGACCCTAACCAAACCTTAACCCCTGATCCCAAAACGCATTCTCACCCTACTCCAACAAACCCAGACCTAAATCCTATCAACATGGGGAACTTACAAATCCAAGGGCCCAAAGTTGGAACAAGGCTTCATTCATGTGAGAACAACCATGACAAAACTAGACGTGGTTGCCGTACTTGTAGTTCTGGCCTAGACTTACCACGCAGTAGTTGTCGGTGTTGATGTCCATGTGGCCGTGCAAGCTCGGCGTGAAGAGAACTGCATATCTATAGGCCTCGCAGCCCCAGGCTATGTTGCCCAAATCATTGATGGAGCCGAGTGGCCCAATCGTGACAAAACCGAACATGGAAAGGTCATTCGCCGCGAGCCGTTCCTCTCTGTCCTTGCCAACTTCACCGAGGAGGTGAGCCGGTTGGGGTGCAGGGTTTTCGAGAACCTGGACCCTGTTGATATAAGTTCTTATTCAGCGTTGTGGCGTCTGTTTCTATGGGTGGTGCTAAGGAGTTTGGATTCTGTAGGGTCTAGGAGTCTGGGTTTGAGGTTTGCGTTTCGATCAATAAACGGTAGATACATGCTCCAAGTTTCTTACCCCTGAGCCGCCCGAGCCCCAAGCCCTAAGCTCTAATCCTGTACCTCCTAACCTTCGGTTGCCTAAGCTCGAGGCCCTCCCCAAACTCCTGAGCCTCAAGCCTTCAGACCTTCTCCCATGACTCCCATCCGAAGGTGTTGAAGGGAGCTGGTTCGGAAGGTTTTTGTGGTTGTGGAGAGTGCAACAGTGCTAGGGGTTAGTGTTCGGGTTTCAGCATGTGGGATGCTCTAAGGTTTATTCTTGAATGTATGTTATATGTGTGTTGGTCTTTCGCGTACGAACCGGGGCAAGCAGGTTTAAGGGTCTTATGGGTCTTAGGTTTACTGTTTCGAGACTAAGAAAGGTTTGGGGATATGCGACCCATAACCCTGCATGGTCAATCCTAAACAAGCCCTTTAACTTTGTAATATCCTATAGAAGTCTAGAGTACCCTTATACTCCACCTTGGCTAGTAGCGCCTATACTAGCCCTAAAACCATAAACCCTGAAGCCCTTAAAGCCCTTAAGCGTCATCCCAAGGCCGTTCTTCCTCTTTCGTAGGGCAATTATTGTAGGTATGTTTCTCTAGGGCTACAGTAGATGTCGTCTTATAGGGGCATTACAGGGTTTATCGGGCTAAGGGGGCAGGGTTTTGTTGCAGTCGAGGTGCCGAATGTTGACGGTGCGAACAACTCCTCCGAGGCTGGGGTTCAAAAGCGTCATAGAGTTCTTAGCTCTTAGGGGTTTTTAGGATGTTTTAGGATTGAGGTTCATAGGGCCAGGGGTTGGGGATGTGGCATGTTGAGGTTTAAGGGCAGGGTCATTGGGTTTGGGATTAGTTTACGCTGGAGGGGTTAGGGTTCACGGTGGATGAATACTGGGGTTTGCAGAAGGTTTTTCGCATCTATGCCTGTCGAGATTCCCAAAGAGGCAGTACTCACCTGCCTTGGAAGCCGCATTCCTCAAACAGCTCTATGTGACCATAGTGTAACACGTACCGACTTAAGCTTTTCGTTTAGACCTGTGCTATCCTCGTTCTTGAGTACCTGGAGGGCAGTAGTTCATGAAAAGGGGCAAGAGTCGTATGCTTGTTCTCCTTATTCCATCTTCTCTGGGCGAAGCTTAAACTGGCCCAAACCCACCCAAAACTCTAAACCCCAAAGTGGTCGAAATTCTTCCTTAATGAAGGAGCCGGCTGCGCTAAATTTTCAAGTTGTAGCTTTCAAACGACCCTAAACTCGTAGGCCGAAGCTGCGAACACCGGTTTTTGAGGGGAGGATTTCGGCACCAGGTTTTTAGGAGTTTAACTCGGGTTTCGATTCTTAAGGCTTAGGCCTTCGGGTTTAAGGTCGGGACTTCTGTTCGAGAGGTTGAGGCCTAAGGATCCAGGTGTCTTGGGTTTAGGAAACCCACTTCTTGGAACCTAAGCCCTTTAAAAAGTCCAGATTGAAGCCAAGTCTTCGGTGCGCGTCGCCCAGAGGTCGGCCCGGAACAGCCGGGGGCGAAGGCCGGAACTTCGTTCAAGGGTCCTGTATAAGCGAGAAGTGACACCCCCAGAGCCTCAAAACCTAGGAGGGCTTCACTGGTGTTGAGGCTTTGGGCCTTTTGGGTTTGCTTTTTAGCCTTAGCATCAGGGCTCAAGCCCAGAACTCAGCCCAAAGTTCAAGGTTCAGGGCATTCAGGTTTTCACGGTGTGAGGTCCTGTAGGGTCTCAGTGTGTTTGGGGCTCAGGGTTCAGTTCGGGTGTTTCATGTGGAAGGTCGCTGAAGACCAAGCTCCAAGCTGTCTTCCCCCCATACAAAAGTTTTGCGGAAACCTCCTGCGCCCGGACAGGTCTCAGATAGTCAAACGAGAAGGTGCAACCCTCCTTAAAATTGTCGAGACAATTGTGGGAGGTGCCTCCCATGGCCGTGGAGAAGTGGTCGCTTCTGGCTTGGGGCCTCGCCGAAGTTGGTTTAGGCGGCTTGGGGCGAAAAGACTCGCAGGTTAGCTCCGGGGAGTAAGGATTCGTAATGTGTTGCTTCATAAACCCAAGCCAGCAAAAGGCTTACAGGACACCGAACAGCCCTTTCCTTCTCGGGGTTCAGGCCGAAAAGGTTTGGGGCTTCTGGCACTGGGTTCCTGCCAGTAGGAAGGACGAGTGCTCATGATGCTACGGTTCAGGGATTAGGGAAGTTTTGGGCTTAGGATCTGGGTTTGGGGCTTTATGTTTAAGGTTTCGGTTTGGGGGCCGTTTGGGACGTAGGTGGGGTTCAGTACGGGGTTTCGCCGCGTGAAAGGCTTCGAAACGCAATGCAGCTGGTCGGATCTGTGTTGATTGGGTTGTGGATGGAGAATCGTGCCGTTGGATTCTCCGCGCAAACCTCAGCAGGGCAGGCGGTTTGCTCACAGTCAAGTCCTAGGGTGCAGTATGGGGTGGGCACGCCGGCACACACTCGCTTGAATTCTACCATTTCGCACGCATCCACAACCCCTCTTCTAAGTCTCAAAGATCTCTGTGCTGCGGCCCTCCAATTGAGCCGTCATTCCCCCTTGGGCTCATCCGCCAGGCATCGGCAATGTCTCGACTGCGAAGTTGGGAAGCACGTCGCTGGCGTTCTTGTCCTGCGAAGGCCAGGGCTGTTGCAGAGTTCAGGCATTGGGATCTAGGGTTAAGGTAATATCGGCCTCGGGTTTGCATAGCTCAGACTGCAATATTCCTCAGTCGAGAATCCTTGACGTTTCAGTAGTTGAAACTCTTCCAAGGGGAGACGCCCGTCTCGCTGCAGCCTCTCCGGCGCCTGTCGGAGCTGCTGGACAGGCAAAGGGTCTGGGTTTCGGACACGGCACGGACGAGTGAAAGTAGCTGGTTCTAGTACTAATGTCTCCGAGGACAGGACTGCAAGATGGGGATGGGCTTGCATAGCTGTCTAATGGATGTGTAAAGATCTTGGCATGTAGATAGAATGCCGCAGTTTTCCCACAAACACCCTCTGGCCTGAGCCCCAGACCGTCAACCAGTCACTTGAGTACAGACCCCTGATCCCAAAGCCTAACTCCTAGCGATTCCAGACTTCCAGTTCCTAGGCCCCGAACCCTTCATTTTCCAATCTTCCGATCGCCGTGTCAGAGGCGAACGGAGTGGTGGCTGTTCAAGACTGTCAGGGCCTTGGCCTGGGCTTGGGCTGGGCAATGCTAAAGTTGAGGGGGTGGCTCTTCAGCCGTGGTGCTCTTGGGCCCTGTGAAGGTTTGGGGCAGTTTGGGTGTCTCAGGTTTTCAGATTTTCGGGCTCAGTTTGAACTTGTCAAGGCTTTGGGTCGGGGTGAGGTCTTCGTCTTTGTCAGGGCCAAAGCTTGAACTGCTATCGGCCCTAGATCCTGAGTGTTGTTTCAGGGTGTTCATAGCTTTTATCCCTACAGCGAAAATCAGCCGAGCTTTGGCTGCGAGTGTGTTCGTTCAGTTAGTGTTTGGTCGAGGGTCTGGTACTCCAAGCCCCAAGCCCGAACTTTCGCTCGAACCCCAAGCCCGAAACCGAAAAAAGCCCGCAAGCCAAACTCACTAACCTCCCTGAACCCTCAATCCCAAACTCAGAACACCAAGAAGCTCCAGACTCTTCCCCAAACGACCCTCGCTGCGGGTCAGGTCTGGGTCTTTGCCACCTGCATCTTCGGCCTGCTTGCAGCAGCCGGGAGCTCTGAAAGGGGTGGATTTCAGGGATCACAGGGGCTCTATTATGAGGACTTCCATAGGGCATCAGGGTTAAATTGAGTTCGATAAGTGTCTTGTGTCGGGATGAGGCTTTGGGAAATTGGGGCTTAGGCTTGAGAGGTTTAGGGCTTAGGTCGTTTTTGGTTTGGGGTTGAGGGCTTTCGGCTTGGGTTGTTGGTTTCATTCAGGACGTCTCGAATTTGGTGGTTCTTCGGGTTGAGGTTCTGGGCTTACAGTTTGCCACACGAAAGGCAGCAACCTTGTTACCGCCACACCTTGCACCATGGAATCCAGGAGTAGCAGTATGAAAGGGTTGAGGGTGTATGGTCAGTATAAGGTTTTGCTGGTCGTCTCTCTTTGCCACAAGACCTTGGACTCATGCCGAGTCTTCCGAAGGTCGTCGTTTGCTTTGCCGTGCGAGGATCGCTGTGCTGGCCCCAGGAGGGATCCGGGTGTTACTGTTTAGAGGTCCCCTAATAATGAAGAACGCAGGGGTTCTGTAAATATTCTACGAAAGTTACATGCATTTAGGGTGTGGGTTAAGGTGAAGTGAAAGGATGTGTCTGTAAAGGATCCAGTAATGAAGCATAGACTGATCATGTAAGGCCGCTTCTTTGACGGGTGTATGGGGTTCTAATTCAGCCAGGAGGGATCGCAAAGGACCAGAAGCCCTGAAAGCACCTCAACGCTTTTTGAAAACCCATCCCTGAAAGCCTTGCACTCTGACAGCCTGAAGTCCTCAAAGGCCTGCTGTAGTAGCCTAGATACCAACCCCAGCGTGAACCCTAAGCCCCTACACCACTTAACCCCTTAACGCACTACAGCACTCAACCCTGGACCCGTACACCCCTACAACCCCTAAGCCCTGAAGCCCGAAAACCCTTGAACCCTTACCTCACTCGACCCTACACCCCTAGAAGCCACGAAAGAACCCCCTGCTTAGACCCCAAATCCCAAACCCCAAACTCCCAAGCCGCAGACCCTAAGGCCTAAAGCCTAAACCCTAAGCGTAAGCCCCAAATTCGACCCTCTGCCGAGGCTGGGCCTCTACAGCATATGCCTTCACCTAAGCACCGGGCCTGGCTGCGGGCTGCTGGATTCCCTCGAGGCGCTCGAGCCCTCTTTCGTTTTGGTGTTCCAGGGTTCGGGGTGTATCATTTTTTTGGTTGGGGAGTGTTTAGGGAATCTCGATGTTTGGGCGATAGCAAGGGGATTTCACAGAATTTTGGGGCATTGAGGGACTTCGGGTCTAGAGCTCACCCTTTTTTTCGGTTGAGGGCTTCGCGGGTGATTGGGGTTTGATGTTGGGCTTATCTGTGCGAGATCATGGTGTGTTTGAGATGCTGTCACTGGTCAAAGCGTCAGAAATCCACCTGTGATAGCACTTGAAGTTGCTGTCGCCACAAAGGTGAGGCCCCAGACCGGAGACCCCAACCCCAAGCCAACGAACGCGAACGCCCTGGACCGCTGCACGCAAGCCGCAACCTGAGCCTTGGACTGCACCAGACCGTGCATCAGACCTCCCCTTTGTCTGCCTAGAGATGATGAGGTCCGACACTTCAGCTTTTCTCGGTGAGGACTAGGGCCTCAACCTGAACAGCTCGAGAATTTCTGAGTTTCTGCACTTCAACTTCGCGAGCAGGCGATGGTCCTGGTCTTGGCACCTGCAGGCCATCCTCTCGTTGGAGTTTGTGGTCCCTCAGCCCTAAACCCTACCCGAAACCCGGAATATAGGTTGTTGAATTTGGGTTTAAGTCAGCCAGGGGACATTTATCCCAAGTAATGCCCGAAACCCAAATACACCTCATACAAGCATGAACCGTGTACCGAATTAAAGCTACACCCCGAACTCCAAACCCTGAAAAGGGCGTGGTGTTTAGGGCCATGAGGGCAGTAAGACACCAGCCGGACAACGAAGCGAGGCGACACCCTAAAGCTTACACGCTGAACGAACATTTACACCCTAGACGAGAACCTATGTACCCTAAGCACTCGGGTTTAAGAGCGTCGCAGAAGCAACCACATAACTAAACAACCGTTCAAGAAATCCTACTCCGAGTCTGTTCTGTTGAAGAAGCCATAACAAGCACGCCCAGGTCTTTGAGAAGCCTAAAGCCTAAAGCCCAAGCCCCACGGAACCACCGGTCAGGGCTGGGGTTCGCTTTCTGCCGCCTCGCCGGGACCCGGGCGCCAGATGTCGCCGGGGGCCCGGAAGTTTTCGGCTTCCGGGGGACTTGGGGCCCTCTAAAGGTTCCGAAAGTTTGTTTTTCAAGGGCCCTGCAAGGGCTTGATTTTCGAAGGTTCCATAAGGGTTCCTTGAGAGCTTCTATGAAGGGTCTCCATGCCGGTTCTATAAGCGTGCGGTAAGACTTCTATAAGGTCTCTGAAGAGTTCTTTCGCGGTTACAGAAGGGATGAGTTAGAATTGTTGGGGTCTAGGATGTAAGGTTTGGGCTTTCGGAGTCTGGGGCTCTGGGTCTTGTGTTTCGCGACCGGGGTTGAGCTGGTAACAGAGGCTTTTCAACACGAGACGGATTGATACAACTTCGAAACAGGAGCACAATGCCATGCATACCTCGAAAGAGATTTGTCTAAACTCTGCAGCCCGCTGCCCACAGCTAGGCGGCGATCCTCCTCTGCCTCTCTGCGGGTGAGGCCGCAGCCACAAAGCGAGTAACATGAGAAATGTGAGGCGCCACAGGCCCAATGTTTATCGGCTTCTTTTGAGCATCTTCGGGGACACCCTCAAGCCTTGTCATGACTAGGTATGGTGAAACCCCGATGCTAATTAGCCAGCTCGGATTCTGTCGTCGTTGTAAACCTGAGACACTGGATCCTGAGCACCAAGGTCCCCCAAAATGGGTCCACGTGTTTGACTTCAATTGCTGTAGAGTGGCAATGCCACGAAAAGTCTCGGAGCTTCGAAAGCCCCAGAAGCTTTACGGTCTAGGATTTATGGGATAGGCTTTTCTGGTACATACTTGGCATAGGTCCCTAGAGGATGTCTGCAAGCTCCCTTAGTTTCCACCTTTGGATCCTTAAGGTTTTTGGGGTAGGTCCGGTGCCGGAGCATCTGACCTAAGCCGGAAGATGTTGAACACTCAAAGGCCTACCCGACGCCAAGACTTTGAACCGAGGCTTGAAGCCGAAATCCGGAAACATTGAAGCCGTATATAGGGGCATGTAGAATTAGAAGAATAGGGTTTTGGGGTATAGTATATTCGACAAGTAATAAGGAACCCGAAGGGACAAGAATGAACAGCAACACCGGCGAAAAGATTGCAGCATGTCAGGTTGCGTCTCTGATGCTTCAGACGCAGGCCGTGTTCTATGGGAGCACTGGATTTGGGGTGTGGGGTTCAGGGTTCAAGGTTTCGGGTTTAAGGTTTGGTGTTAAAGGCTTGCGGCTTGAGCTTTAGGTTTGGGGTTTAAGAGTGGTCGAAGGTTCCTGGATGTAGTCTGGGCTTTGGGATTTAGGATTGCGGTCGGGTGTCTTGGGTTTCGGGTTCAGGATTTGTGAAAGGGTCGTGGGAATCGGCTTTGAGCCTCTCTACATTCGGGTTTTCGGATTTAGGCATTGCGAGTTTGGGCCTAGGCTTCAAACTTATGCGCCTAGCGTGTACCCTATAACCCAGAATCTCAAATTCCGTAAACCCCGAAACCCTACACCCTATTTACCCTTTTTCAGAATTGCGCGAGGTCTTTCGTAGACGGGCACAACAAGGGATTGAACTCACTTGCGCGAGGATAGAAGGTTAACCCTGCCCCTAGACCTCAGGCCCAAACCTCAACCCTACAGCAACAGTCCAAAACTCCTAAGCCGAACCCCGTCCCCTTATCTTTGAGTGCTTGTTGAGATGTCAAGGCCAGGGTTCGGCTTGAGCTCTTAGGACATGGCCCCGGTTAGGACCAAGTCTTGGGTTGAGCCTCGCATCTGCAGATGTGAAGCGCAGCCAGCACCAAATACATCAGGGAGAGTTCGTCGGAATCTTGATCTTGGGTGTATGTGGTTCCGGCATCAGCGATGTGGCGCTGGCTTGGTGTGGTGACTGAGAGTGTTCAGGGTCATGTGGCTGCTTTCTGGTCAAGGATTTGACAAATATTCCGGCCTCTCAGGTGGATTGGACTCGGGCTCTTGTGTGGACGCCAATCGGGGTCGAACCATAAAATGCTACAAAGATCAAGCTTGGTCGAACTGCACTGTAGCTGCTTCCTCACGCAGTCTCCAAGCTATGGCGTCTGAAATCATGACTCGATGCTTCAGGGTAGGGCGTGGTCATGCTTGCAATACTAGTTGGAAAGCTGTTGCATTCATCCCAACACAGCCCGAACATGTTCCAGGCCCTGCGCACGCGTCCTTGTACCGGAGCATTGCGCCCTCCTGATCGAGACCCGGATCATATTGCTTACCTCATGTCAACCATGTCCTGAATCTGCTCATGCCCCACGCTGTTCGGCAGTGCGTCTGGCTGACATAGGACCATGTGCAGAAGGTGCACTAATGCACCCAGGAAGATAGGGCGACGAGGTGTGCGTATGTACACAACTGTAGCTGAATGTACTTGGCATGTTTGTAATTGTATTCTTATGAGGTTTCACTATGATAAAACATTGCATACCCGGATATGATACCGCATGACAGAACAGTTTGCAGCAAGAAATAATGCCTGATCAGGTCTTACGGCGGCCCGGACACGCAATAACATTGCATATCACAGTTTATCATGCTTGTAAAAACTGTCGTAATGTAACAGATGTATGGTATTGTAGAACAACTAAAGCATATCAGTTTGATGAAACATGGTGTGCCATGATGTGAGGCGAAAGGATATCCTGTATTATTACATCGCATGGTTGAATATCCCTTAGTATCGTGTATTATGTTGCGTATCAGATGTAGACATTTCCCATGTAGTACAATGTGAGCAAGCAATGTAGTATGATATAGAAGAAGTGAACATAACCACCATGGTGTAGTATATAGTATTCTAGTACCGTATCGTAAGAACCAGTACACTAAACAAACATCACATACTGGACTATTATCGTTACTGCCTATTACTACTACTACTACTACTACTACTACTACTACTACAAGTACTACTCTGATGTCTAGTCGTGCTGCTGCCACTGCTACCACCACCACCTCCGCCACCACCGGCATCACCGTCACCACCGTCACCAGCGCCCACAGGGCAACTGTCACCATCACCGACGACGATTGAAGCAAACAAGAACCACAGCTGAGCCAGGATTCGCGATATCTTTTCCCAAGGGCCGCCCTTCCTGCATACATTGCCCGGGCCCCCAAATGAGGCTTGGGAGTCTTTACCGGCGTGGGTTGAGAATTTTCTTTTGATGTGAGGTCATGTTGAAATGCCATTGCTTCTTGTACTCGCCACATTGGAACCTGGGGCTGTGCGAGGTTGAAGGCTGCTTAGAAGCGGTTTAGGGATTTGGGGGTCCAGGCCCTGGGTCTTAGCTTGTCAGAACATGCCTTCAGGTGAGGCACGCAAGCCCCGTTACGAAGTATCTGAAAACTTACATCGGCATGGATAATTTTTTGCATAGGGACCCTTGAAGGCATGATTCCGAAAGACAAGCGTGTATCCTGAGTCCAGCATGTTGCGGTGTTGGGAGATGGTGATTGTAGGAACAAGGGTCCAGCAGACGATTGTTTGAAAGCACATGCAGACAAGTTTACCTAGTTCCCACAAAACCAAGAAGCCAATTCCTTCAAAAGATCAAACCCAACATCCTAAAACCGAACATCCGAAGTCGGGAAAGCGGTAACCCTACGTCCTCGACCAAAATGACTACTGCCCACGGGGCTGTGTATTCGCGAGCAGCTGTCATCACTGTAGTTTACTGTTGCATGCGGACATGGTTCTAGGTGTGGCGATGATGGAGAGCTGCGGGGTCATGGCGTTAAAGCGAAATCCTAGCTAAGGGTTAGCAGCTGATGGTCTCCGCAGCATGAACCAGCTGTCTTCATGGTCGTGTTTGCTCCGTATCATCAGAGCTCTCGTGAAGTCCGGCTTTGGCGGTTTCGCGTTTGAAGAACATCAAGGCAGACCATGCTTCATGCCGTCGACAACTTATTAGATAGTGGGTCTATGCCCAGTTTTCTGCTTGATATCAGGGCTGCAAATACAAGTCAATGCGACCCGACATCCACGAATCTTCAACTCAAGGCGGACGTGTACTACTGCTTCTTCTACCACCCCATGAACTTTACCGGGTTGGCACACGGCGCTCTCTTCTGCTATCAGGCTTGAGCTGTGTGCCGAGGGAATGTGTGGGGATCGCATCTTCTCTAAAGCCCACACCGAACCCCAAAACTCTTGAACCCTGAAGCCCTGAACATTCGAAGTCCTAACTCGCTCACCGAAGTTCCCAATCCCGAAAGCATAAAGCATCCAAGTTCTATATTAATATCTAAATCACAGATAAAAGGCAATTCAATGGCTTCTGTCCCAGACTTCCAGGGTTTGACCTCTTCGTTGTCGACTCAGAGTTTTGGGGTTCAGTGGTCAGGTTTCCGAAGCCTATTCCTTCCTAACCCCTCAGCATGAAAGTTTCAACCTGGTGTCTTTCGATTTTGGGGACCGAGCCAGGCTTGAGGTCTCTTTTGGAAAGCTGAAGTGGCGATGTTTTTGTTTTGGGCATTGTTGACCAGTGGATTCATTTGATGTCGGAGCTGCTGACAGGATTAAGCAGTTGGTTCTCAAGATTGAGTGCTCTCCCTAAAACCCTCAAGATCCGCTCGCGCGCGTGCGCGCGCGCGCCTAAAAGTCGGAAACATTCATCGGGTGGCACGCCTCAGGCCTTCCTCGTCGCAGTTCTGTGGGGCCATTTCGAAACGGTCGTGCGCTTGTGCCGCCCTTATGGTTTGGGTTTACCCTAAACCCTAAACCCTAAACCCTAAACCCAAGCCCCAAGCCCTAAGGCCCTGAGCCGGGGTTCTTTGGGTTGAGTGTTGAGGGTTACAGTGTTTTTGACTCAAGGCATGACAAGGGAGAGCCATATTTCTTGTTATTCACACGCTCATTTAACCGTGCTTCCTTTGCTTCCTCCATGAGCCGCTTCGGTTTTCACAAGGGGTGTTACGAAGGGTTCAAGACCTGGAGTTCTTGCAGGACTCGAAGGATGTTAGGCTCTTAGTTTTAGGACTTGCGGCTGTGAAGGCTTTTTAGCTATTAGGATTCCTCGGTCTGCATGCCCCACGTGTCTCAGATACGTGATAACCTCAGCTCAATCGGCTTAATTGCTAAATGGATGCGAGGTTTAATTTTTCTAAGCTGCACTAGCATGCAACTCAGCGGCGGCACTTCTTTAATTTGTCACTGTATATATTCCTCTTATGACAATTATCCTACCCTAAGCCTAAACCCTAAATCCTGTCATTGTGGGCAGGCTGTCTCTTTCTGCTATGTTATTTCATGGATCACCGCTGTTCTTCTGAGTCTCAGGCCTACTTCGTCCTTGGACCAGCTCAATGTCGAGGTTCGGATCAGACCCAGCTCTCATGCGAAGGCCGCGTCGTGCCGAAACCCGCAACCCTCCAAGGTAACGGGCACAGCACCAGATTTGTTATGATGTTTGTAGGAGGTCTAGACGAGGCTTAGAGGGTTCAGGGCGTGGTGTGTACGTCTCTTACAAAGTGTACATGAGGCTTCGAGGGTTTCGGGCTTAGGGCCCGGAAGCTTTAAACTTCCAATGGCGCACGTCATTCATATGAGAACCCTAAATCGGAGCCAAATTTCGACCATCCCGCATGTTAGCTGCACCTGAGGCCCCAGACTTCCTACGCTTAACCCAAGCCGCAGACTCCAACCATAGTAAAACCTCACTTCACTGAACCACCCAAAGCCCCAAACTCCGATATGTGTGTGTGTGTGTGTATATAGATAAACCCTATCTGAGGCCTCAAGGCCCAAGGCCCTACGCCCTTCCCAGCCCTCCGAGGAAATACCGAGCCAATTCAAAGCCTACAGAGGGCCATGCAGCTAGAGCAGATGCAAATATGAAAGATCCAGGAAACCAATCCCCGATCCTGACTCTGACTCTGAACCAAAACCAATCAAGACCCCAATCGCCAGACAGCCAACCTCATCCTGAAAATGAAACTCTCTCCGAGCACAGCGAAAGGTACATCCTAGCCCTCAACCCTAAACCGTGGGAGGGCCATGCTCGGCTTTCCCCGGCTGTGCAGAAGCTGCTCCTGGAACAAGGGCCGGATCTTGTGCTGCTTTAGGCTGTAGTATTGAGGGTTCAATGATCGATGAGAGGTGTTACGAGGGTCAAGAGTTGTTTGGGGTGTGCCAGACTGCCACGGCGCGATAAAATTCACAATGCGGGATTTGTTGGAGCAAGGGTTGGTAAGGAAAAAGTAAAACTAGGCGACGCACGGCATTTCGGGCGGTTCTAAATCCCAGACTCCTGGCAGGTCTACTCCGTCCCCTGTGTCCCGGTTTTTTAGGGCTTGACGGTGTGTGGTTGAGGGTTGACATACGCTTCATATACGTAGGTCCCATCCCGAAACTATACACACCTGGACGTTGGACCAGGCTACTCTTGCTCGGGGACAATACGCCGGGCTCTCGGATTCAGTTTACGGTTTAGCTTGAAGAGAGATTGATGTATCGTAGTGTATGGTAACATCCTGCCAAACTCCACTGCATTCGTCGGCCCAAAACTCTGAAACATCAAGCCCGGAGCATCCGGCGAATCCGCGAAGCTGTATGGCTGTATGGACACTCTGTGACAGCATGCGCCAGGTCAGTAGTGCCCTTACACCGTATCGGGGCAGCAGCATAGTAATTAATTATGACGACACAAAGGCTTTACAGATTCAGAAGACGCACAAGTGGTGTTAAACCGCCCAAGGGATGGCAGCGGAGTAGAACTGCAACATCCCCTTGAACGAGCAGGGTTGTAAGTAAGGATATCTAAGTTACAGCCAGTTTTGAGCTCGGGGCCCTACAGCCAAACCCTTAGGGAAAGAATTGACATCCTCGGCTCTCCGGGTGTTGGAATCTGGGATTTGATTTGGGCTTCTTTGAGAGTTGTCTCTGGGCGACATCGGTCTGGTAGATGCATTGTATGAGGATTCTTTCGGGGCGGTACAGGGTTTAGAGTCTAGAGTGTTCCGTTCAAGGTGTTTGAAGGCTTGGGGCTGTGTGGCTTGGCAGGTCAAGATTGAGGGTTTCTGGGTCTAGGAGTTCAGGATTTACTAATTGGTGTGGCCTGCTGCACTGTGAATTGTTGGAAGACTTGTTGGTGTAGTTGTCGGAATAGCTGCTAAGGACATCCCCTTGCTTGAGAACCAATTCCTGACTAAAGTATGGAAAAGCACAACCGCCCTCCTCTAATTCTCAAGGCGCCTACGCTGCAACCTGAGCCCTGCAGGCCGAAGCTTAGCACTAAGAGCCCCGCACCTGTGTAGGCTTTAAAGGTTTGGGGTCTAGGAAAGCTTCAGTCCTACAACAAAAGCCTGCACACCCCTAAACCCTGAACCCTACATCCGGAACGCCTGAAGCCCTGAAGCCCTACACCCTCCCCAAAGGCACTTTTTCCCCAAAAGCTGTCGTTGCGAGGTCTTACGAGACGGGCATGGTAATGAGTGCAGTCGTGTCCAGAGCTGTGCAGACCATGAAGGAGCCATCGTCTCCGGGCTTTTTAGGGTGGGAGGGTGTAGGGCCTGAAGCTTTTGGGGTTTAGGGCTTCAGGGCTTTAGGGTTTCAGGCTTTTGTAGGGCCTTCGGATCCGCACCCAGAGGTCAGGACTCGACATGTAGATGCTTCAGCATTCGGGGCTGAGGGCTTGGAGCGTTGGAGTTGGGGGTGTCTATAGTTTCACATTCTGTTTATAGAGTTTCTAGGGCTTCACAGGGCTTCATAGAGCGTTACGGTTCAGGTGTTTATCTTCCATCTTTCCGCGATGTTTTTTCAAATTCTGTCTGAGTGGGAAGGGACGATACTGAAGGAGGAAGTTTGACAATCACCGCCCTAAGCCCCAACCCTTAAATCAGGAACACTCAGCCCTAAATCGGCTAGTAAGAAGCACCCGCTGCTGCGCTTGGACAAGGCAAGCCCCAAGCCATGAACCTGACGGGTGCGAATGGTAATTTTGTAAACTTTGACTTAAGTTAAGCCCCAAAGCCTGCAGCTAAAACCCCAAAGCCTGGAGCCGCCTCCTCTTCTCTCCAGGCTCCGCGCTGGACCTTTCCGACCGACCCAGTAGGCGCGCCGGGGTTTGCATGTTGAGTACTGATAACCATAACGATGGTGAAAGTCGTCGTCCTAGCAGTTGCAGCAGCAGCGGCGGCGGCGGCAGCAGCAGCAGCAGCAGCCGCAGAGGTAGTGGTTGTAGCAGCAGTAGCAGTAGTAGCAGTAGCAGCAGCAGTAGCCGTGCCGCAGCAGTAGCAGCAGCAGTAGCAGTAGTAGCAATAGTCGTAGTAAGCGTGAGAGCGATAGCTATTATCCGTAGCAACAACCGTGATGAATGGTATCTTCAATGCCACTAGATACCTTTTTCATCACGATGTCTCACTAGGCCGATGGCTATCTATCACTACGGTTGAGTGCGCCCTTCAATCCCAAACTCTAAACCCTAAACCCTCAGCCTTAAACAAGAAGCCCAAGCCTTACCTAGCGAAAATTAACCCTGCACCCAAAGTTCCTAGTCCTACACCGCTCATGTGCAGGTGCCACGGACTTGCTACACCCCGGCGAGTCTCTTCGGTCCATCCACCCGGAGGCCTTTGGGGTTCAGGGCTTGGGATGCAAACATAGCTGAAAAGGGTTCCACAGTGATTTGCGTTGGCTGATACGACTTTATATGCTTTTCGCGCGAACTCAGGAGTCCCCGTTGTTTAAGGGTCGATCTTGCTTTTAGGGTCTGCATGTAGGACCACTCTTTGCTGAAATCCCAAATCCAAGCGCAGGAAGCATCAGAATTATCAGTAAATAACAGTGATCATGACAATACTCACGGTACTAGCAGTCAAGAAGATACCCCGCCTGTGATGCCAATATTAGCAGTAATGGTGGTTCTGACCATGCATGATATGTGTGGTGGTGGCAACGGTACTAGCAATGATAAGAGTAGTAATGAATCCAAAATGACGGTTTAATGAGGACAGCGCTGATGATGATGATGGTGATGATGATGGCGACCATGATCTCAACGCTGACAGCGTAAATAAATACCATGGTGTCAGTGTCGAGACTGCTAGTGTTGATGACAACAAGACTCTTACTCGTAGCATCAGTATGACAACAATGTCATGCAACATCTAGAGAAGACTGAAGATGCCAATTCCAATGGTGGTAGTGGCAATACAGCCATGGTGCTTTTGATAGTACTCTTACAGTGATCGCATGAG